TACTCTAAGTGCAAAGTTATTGGGATTTGAGCACATTAAAGAATTATATGCTAATGATCCAGATTTTGCTAATGTGTTTAATGCATGTGAGAAGGCAGCTTCTGATAAGTTTTATAGGCATGATGGGTTCTTATTTAGAGAAAATCGATTATGTGTGCCTAACTGTTCATTAAGAGAATTGTTAATAACGGAATCACATGCGGGTGGCTTAATGGGACATTTTGGAATTAGGAAAACTTTAGATATTCTGAACGATCACTTCTTTTGGCCACATATGAAACGCGATGTTAAAAGGATGTGTGAAAGGTGCATAACATGTAAACAAGCAAAATCTAGAGTTTTACCACATGGTTTGTATGTATACTCCCTTACCCATACCTACTGAACCTTGGGTTGATATATCTATGGATTTTGTTTTGGGCTTACCAAGGTCAAAAAAAGGCCGCGATTCTATTTTTGTTGTTGTTGACAGGTTCTCAAAGATGGCACACTTCATTCATGTCATAAAACTGATGATGCAACCAATATTGCTGATCTGTTCTTCAAGGAGATTGTTTATTTACATGGTGTTCCAAGGACTATTGTTTCTGATCGTGATGTCTTGAGTTACTTTTGGAAGACCTTGTGGGAAAAGTTGGGAACTAAGCTATTGTTTTCAACTACTTGTCATCCACAAACTGATGGACAAACATAAGTGGTTAATAGGATGTTGTCAACCTTATTGCGTTCTATTATTCAAAAAAAACTTGAAGAATTGGGAAGAATGTTTGCCGCATGTTGAATTTGCTTATAGTCGGAACGTCCATTCAGAAGTGTGTATGGTTTTAATCCACTCACCCAAATTGCCATTACCCACTGATGAACGGGCTAGTTTGGACGGGAAAAAGAAAGCTGAAGTGGTTAAGCAACTACATGAGAGGGTGCAACAAAACATAAAGCGACGAACTGAGCAATATGCAAATCAAGCCAACAAAGGGTGCAAGAAAGTTGTGTTTGAACCTAGAGATTGGGTTTGGGTGCATATGTGAAAGGAGTGATTCCCTGCACAAAGGCGTTCTACGTTGCAACCAAGAGGCGATCGACCATTTCAAGTGATTGCAAGGACAAACGACAACGCATACAAGTTGGAGTTTCCTGGTGAGTATAATGTTAGTGCTACTTTTAATGTTTCTGATCTTTCTTCTTTTGATGTACGTGATGAGTTGAGGACAAATCTTTTTGAGGAGAAAGGGAATGATGGGAATCAAGATGACCCCACATGTACCATGTCAAGAGATCCATTACATATTCCAGGAGGTCCAATCACAAGAGCTAGAGTTAGGAGGATGCGAGAAGCTTTAACTGGCCTTATTGAGCAAATCTGGGTTGATAACAACATGCAACAAGTAAATCGAAGCTTGGATGATTATCAAGGCATCATCATTCAGATTCAAGAGAAGCTTAATTGAGGTCATTTATGCTAGATTACACAGTTTGCGTCAAAATCCCGCAATTCTGTTGCAATTTGTAACAAACTATAGTTCATGTTACTTTAGGTTACTTTTAGTGATTTTCACATTTTTTGTATTATTTTAGGCTGAAAATTCATTTATTTGAGGCCCAATTCATGGTTATTAGGATTCGGGCTTAGGGTGTTAGTTTCCTATTCTGATTAGAATTACTTTTCCCTATTTAAAAAGCTTGTAACCCTAATTGGGGAAGCTATTGAATCTAAGTTTTTGAGAGACTTTTCTCTTTGGTTTGTTTCAGAACTTTATAGAACTTATCAAGATTATTCTTGTGACATTCTAACCTGACTTATCATTCTTGTTCTTAATCGTTCAGCCTCAACATCACCAGCCTCTTGTCCTTGCTCTTTGTTAGTGCCCTCGTTCTAGCCATACTCCATTTTCAAAACTTTAAGCATGGGCAATCACACATTGTTTTTGCTCTATATGGCTACAGCAACATCAGCGATGTAAGGCCCCTTGTCCAGGTCCCAATTAGAGCTATCCAAGAAAGGAGTATGGTAGAACATCTAAGTCATAGCTAAATTACTATGCAAATCTCTTCATGAAATAACTCATGAGGTCTCACGGTCCTTTCTACATGACACATGACAGCATGGATGGTGTAATCATAAGCAATTTCTCCAAGCGGCTTGCATCACCTATAGGAAAGTCCATTATTTGACTTTTCAGCACTGCTGCATTTGTCTTGTTAAAAAAGCTTACTTCTAGCGATGCAAACATCCTGATGGGAATCAAGACGACAGCATATCTACTATGTCATGTAATCCATTACACACCCAAGGAGGTCCAATCACATGAGCTAGAGCTAAAAAGATGCGTGAAGCTTTAAATGGCCTTATTGAGCAGATCTGGGTTGAAAACAACATACAACAAGCAAATTGAAGCTTGGATGATTATCAAGGCATGGTAAACATCATTCAGGTTCAAGAGAAGCTTAGTTGAGGTCATTTGCATGGAATTACACAGTTTGTGTCAAAATCGCACAATTCTGCCACAATTTGTAGCAAACTGATATTTTGTGTTATTTTAGGTTATTTTTAGTGATTTTCACGTTTTTTGTATTATTTTTGGGCTAAACATTCACTTATTTGAAGCCCAATTCGTGGTTATTAGGTTTAGGACTTAGGGTATTAGTTTCCTATTCTGATTAGGATTTGTTTTCTCTATTTAAAAGGCTTGCAACCCTAATGGGGAGGAGGCTATTGAATCTGAGTTTTTGAGAGACTTTTCTCTTTGGTTCGTTTCAGAATTTTACAGAATTTATCAAGATTATTCTTGTGGCGATCTAACTTGACTTATCATTCTTGTTCTTAATCAATCGAGGGTGTGGCATCAACCAATTTTATACCTCTGGTTCTTGTTGCGTCATAGACAACGGGTCAAGGGTTTTTACCTTTGGTTCTTGTTGTGACATAAACAACAGGTCAAGGTCCTATTATAAACCTGATTTAGCTTTCCTGGAGTTTAGAAATCCCTTGTCGAGCTATGGGTCTCATTGTTCTCTTTGGGGTTCTCATCATCCTGGTATCAGAGCATCAGATCCTAAATTAGATTTGCGTATCTTTAGTTTTCAGTTTTTACATAAAAAAAAAAAAATTAGGGTTCTTTTCTTTCTTGTCTACAACTCTTTTCATCTTGTTCTGTTGAATCTGTGTTGCTGGTTCTGAAATGAAAAAAAAAAA